GCTATTTGTGAAAGGTGACTGATTGTTTTTATATGTTTTTCTAAACCTTGTTCAAGTATGGGAGAAATGTTGCTTCAGAGCTTAGTGCTCACCCCCTACAAATAATATTTTTCAGATGATGTCCTAGAGGAGTTGGGAATGGATGAACCAGCACACTGGGAGACTCCTATAGAAGGGAACGTAGATCCCGAGGTGGACGCTTAGAGAAACATTATCTTTGTTCTAGATTAGGAAGTTCATTTTTGAAATATTTTGAAGTCTAGTCTTTTGTAATTCCGCTGCATTATGATAGTAAAATTTTTGGGATGTAAATGTCATGGTTCGGCATATCAATTTGAGTAATGTTGTAAATATTTTATGGAGGATGAGTCCTATTTATTTATGGATTATATTAGTGCTCTCATAATATAAATAGTTTTAAATTATAATGTCGTCCAAGGTAATTTTTGGGGCATTACAATCCAACTCACAAAAGGCTTTCCTTTTTGTTTTTATGATAGATTGCACGTACAAAACAAATAAATACCAACTGCCACTTTTAGAAATAGTGAGTGTGACTTCTATGGAAAAAATATTTGTCTCCATATTCATTTATATGAAATCAAAGAAAGAAGAAAATTATTGTTGGGCACTTGAGTGTTTTTGATCAATTGTTGGGGTATGTCATAGCTAGGGGTACTTGTGACTGATCGTGACTTTGCCCTCATGAATGCAATTTCATAAGGTCTTCCCAAATGTAGCCAATTTATTATGTCATGTTCATATAGAGAAGAATGTCCTAAAAATTGGATAAATTCAATTTTGAAGGAGACATGAAATAAATTCAATGCAGCATGGTCCGATGTCATGCAAGCATCAACGGAGAAGGAATATAAAGAAAATGTACAAAAAATGGAGATTAAGTTCACAGATTGTCCAAATGCATTCAATTATCTTCGAGAAATAGGACTTGTAATTCATGAGCATCAATTGTTTCAGCATGGATTGATCAATAATTTCATTTGGAGAACACTTCAACTAATCTAGCTGAGAATAGTCATTCCAAGTTGAATAAGCACCTAAATTCATCAGTCCAAAGCATTGTCAATTCCTTCAATGTCATTCATCTATTGCTAGAACTACAAATTACAGAGATGAAGTCATCATTTGAGGATAGCCTAACGAGGACTCCACACCGATTTAGAGCTCCATTGTACAAAGACCTCATTGGGATTCTCTCCACAGCTGCACTTGATAAGATTGAGGTAGAGGCCAACAAAGTTGGCTGAGTTGCCATGTGCTCACCTTATGTTGACTTATAGGAGAGAGGGTCAGCCTATTCCATTCTCGGACGTGCACGATTATTGGAGGAAGTTAACTATTAGTCCCTATGTAGAGGAAAACACACATAAGACTGAGATTGAATTGGAGCTTGACATGCTTATGGATATGTTTTTGAAGTCTAGTGAGACACAAAAAGTGGAAATAAAGAAATGCCTATAAGTATTGAAAGATCCTAGTTCAATGTCCATCCTTAAGCCAATAACAAAAGTGAATCTAAAAGGTAGGATGAAGAAAAAGAGAGTGAAAAAGAGCATTGTGATACTAGAAGAATCAACTAAGCCCAATCTATCAGCATTTGAGTATGTTCTTGCATTGCTCGAGGATAGTAAAACATAGCTAGTCATGAACCTGTCTTCATAGCCATCTGTACAAGGGCCTCTAGTGTACTTCGATTGTGAACATAGAAAGACCAAAGTTGATTGTGCATTAGATTAGAAATTCTAGTACTTTGAGGTATGTAACACAATTCCCAGATTCAATAACTCCTTTTATTGCTAATCTCATAGATGTCCTAGCAAATGGACAATGTGGGTTTCGGGTACTTGTCAGATTCTTGGAGATGGTAGATGACGGTTGGAAACAAGTGAGGAAAGACTTATTAAACAAGTTAAAGACATTTGACACTAACTACTTTCAAGTATTAGGTGGTGAAGAGTGTGTGGCTAACAATGTTGGCTCAAACACTGGATGATAATGCTAGTTATGGGGAACGTGATTGTCATACTACAACATTGTTCCAATCCATATATCACGCCAACAGTGTCTCACATTTCTTTCTTTTCATCAACAAGCACCACACAAACCAATTCATAGGATTCTCGGATGTGGTTACATCAACTCAAGTCTCTTTTTTAAACTTGAGTTCACTCTAGACTCTTCCTTACCCTCCATGTCAACTATGTAGCACAAGTATCACTATGAACTCGTTAAATGGTGGATTACTCCAAATTTGATGCAAATAAAAAGATTCAGGACTTTATTGAAAAATAATCAAGAAATTGCAATTGTAGATATTCCTGGCGACATAACCTAAAACAAAGTAAGTATTCTTTTTTCTTCTTTTTTTTGCGCAAAATTATAATACTTTAATGTTTTTCATAAATACTAGGTCACTATTGATTTATATTTTTTGTCGATAATTTTATGTAGGTACTCTTCATTACTTGATAACAACTTATGGAATTGGAGCAATAACGGAGAGGCCTGATCAGGGTTCTAGAACTAATTTAGGTTGGCTTATAACGTTTGTAATTTTTAGCTTCTTAATGGCCTTGTGACTCTTTAGTTTTCCCCCATTTTGGAGCATTTTTTTTTCCCTTCATCGTCATTGTGATGCACCACTGTATAATAATATTCTTAAATTTAGTCTTTGATATTCACGTTCTATTTATAATGATACTATTTGCCTGGACATCAAATACATGATTCAATGAACTAGAGCAATTAAGTAAAGAAAAAATGAATCTAAAAAACAATTAGATGTTTGAGATGAAACGTGAAGCAGATAAAAGTGTTGATTGCTTGGGCTAACCACCCAATTATACATAGGGTGAAAAAATATGGAGATGAGAATAATTTATTATTAAAGGTTTTTTTTTTTTTTGATTGGAGGATGAGTTTTCAATAGCATTGTGTTGAGATCTACGCCAAGGGACCATGAATTTGTCAATCGTCATACCCGAAGCTAGTGGATTGTCCATTGCCAATGATATGGAGAACGAGTGACCCAGCAAATTTCTCTTAATTTCAGCAGCTTTCTGCAATTTCAAGAGCATTGTGGTGGTGGTTCAGCCTCCCTGGAACTTTCCTGCTTATTTCAAACCATCACCACCCCAACATTGCATTGCAATAAACCCCCTCCCCAACACACACACACACACAATAATCACCACTGCCACTGTCGCCTCACCACAATCAGAATCACTGCCACTACTATTGTGTTTTCATTTGATGTGATGACCAATGTTAGAAGCTCGTCAGGATAGTTTGAATGGAAACACTTGATGGGCAGAGAATTATAGTTCACCCCACGCAAATAATATTTGGAAAATTGAGTGTCCCTCTTAACGTATATCGTAACCACAAATATAACGCAAACACAAGTATTTTCAAGTAACAAAAATAAAGAATATTAGGATGACCAAAAGTGTGCCAAAACCTAACACCCTGCTTAGCATAAACACAAAAAGACAACTATGACCTCTCATAAGGTGTGAATAAAACTAGATGTCATCCAAGGAACAAAAATACCACCCATCTCAGAAGTATCCAGTTCATTTTTTTGCTAAATTATATCCAGTTCATTTGAAATAATAAAACCGACGTCTAATGAAATAAGCATGGTTAAAAAAAATAGCAAAAGCAATTGAGGCCAAAGGTTAATTATACAGAACATCCTCAGGTTGCAGGTAATGCTAAAAGAAGAAGATAATCACAGGTTAAGAAAATTAATAGACACTAAAAAACTTTAATTCATTTTCAGGTTCTAATCATCCAAATACAAGGTTATTCTTAGGATCCATATTCCCTAAGGGGAGTGCAAAGATTGTTACTCTCACATTCAAACAATTCTGTTTCCTTCTCCCCAAAAAAAAAAAATTGAATTACTCTAAGTTGTGATGCAAATTGCAATCCCATGCACATGTTATCTAACCACCAACAAACCTGTCCCACGTTATTCACTCTAATATTCACAAACTCTGCTCCTTTTCAATCTTCCCAGGTGAAAAGTATTGAGGAGCCAAGAACATAGTGCTTGTAGCATCCTTACCAATTTCATGTGAAGCAATATTTCAAGTTCCGCCTTCAACATTCTTTGGGCATTTGAATTAATTGTTCTTGCACAATTGACAGAACAAAGTAAATGCCTTTAGCTGTGTGTTTACTGTTCATCCAGCAAAGTCCAAGGATTGTCTTCACCAAAAAATCGACCAAGTTTCTTCAAAAACTTCAGGGATAAAAAAAATCGGTTGAGGGGATACAACAATAAGGATTGAAAGAAAGCAACTAGGAAAAAGCTGAATCAATTTTATGACTCACATCTCAGAATAGACAGCAGGTGAAACAAATCACTCATCACAAGTAATGAACGTGAGCTATGAATACCAGGGTCCATAGCATTGTAAAATTTCTGATGATCAGAGGGGCTAAAACTCGAATAGGTGCGAAGCATGCCCCAATTGAATGGCTTTAAAATAAGAAAATAAAAAATTCCTCCGAAAATTCTGTTAGTAGCCAATACACTGTGTAGAAGCGAGAAGCTGTGGCATCCTCAACACATCCACTCACAACTATTGTGAACATAATATTCAATGGAAGATGTTGATTCAGAACTCACAAAGGAAATTGCACAACCACCTTTATCTCTAGCCTGAACACAACTTTCCAGCACATAAGATTTCAGAAGAGCTGTGAGACGCATTAAGAAATCAGTGAAGAACCCAATGGATTTTACAAACCTATTATAAGTTATTAGACAACATTTCTCCACTTACAACAAAATTGGGGAAAAACAAACACCATGATCATTGCTTTTGACAACCCATGATGATGAAAGAAACAAGATGGCAACTTTTGCCACAATTACAATGTAGTTTTCCATGGTCTCGGCATGAAATATCACCTCTTATGTGCCTAAACGCGCATTTCCTTTCTCAACACTCAAATGAAGCTTTATTTTATCTCACTTTTGACTGCATCATACCTGCAATTCTACAAACAAACAGATCTTATATACTCAAACTCCATGGTAAACAGGACAATACATTTAAGAAAGCGCATGATTGTTGCAGAATTAATAAAATAGAATAACCGGAAAATTCACCAATTCTTTGGTCACTATTACCTCCCTCTGATGCCACGAATACCACCAAGAATCTCCACTGTTTGCTGCAACTTTGAATTTTTCGGCTTCTCGTCACCTTCCAGTACCAAAGTTGAGAACCTTAATACTGTGGCAAGCTCTGCTTCCATTTTGTTGAGCTGTTGATCCAGATGTTCCAAGAACTCCTCATAAGAGGATATTCCATTTAAACTATGGGGCGTGCCAGGTTCATTCCAGATCCCCTCAACTGAAAGTTCCTTAAGATTATCTGGCTCATTAGCAGCAGGTGGGTCCGCTTGACTTTGTGCATTAACCTGAAATTCTTGATCCCCACTAAGCTTCAGAGTATTTGGATCGATATCTTTATTTTCATCTGAATTTCCTGTAACTGGTTCCCTTGGGGAGACGATTCGAATGGGAATAGAAACATCTTCCCTGCCAACCTCAAGACCTAAAGCAACATTGCCGATCAGCTGAGTTTCCTTTACAGATATTGCCTGAAATGATATGGTGTTAGCAATCACAAAAGGAAGAGAAAAATTAATTTGTGCTTGGATTAGAAAAGGGAATTAAAGAAAAACAAAAAATAGGTATACTGGAATGTTGGTTACATACATACAACCAAGGATCAAAATTTCGTTTTGAAACGATCAAAATATTTGCATTTTCGAGGGGACTAAAACGAATCGGTGATGGAATCGAAACTACAATGCTTCAAGGTATTTCAGAATGTTTTATGCTGTTTTGAGAGGTTTTGACATGTTTTCATCATTGTTTGGACATATTTCAAGATGTTTTAGTATATTTAGACCAATATTTCGAACTATACTTTTAAATTTTTTATTCGTTTATATTCTGCTTCTCGAAAGATTGCCGAAACGTTTCCGTTTTCTAGGTGACCGAAATAATGCACCAAAATGAAATTTCAATCTTGCGTACAACCATACACATGTTCACTCGACTCCTTATTAAAAAAAAAAATTGAGGGTGAAATTGTTGAATTAATGTAAAGAGAAAGGGAGAAATAGAGAAGAAAGAAAAAGAGAGTTGAAAAAGAGAAGACAATGTTAGGGTTCGCTCTCTAACACTTATATTTATAGTTCAAGTATCAAAAAGTCAAAATTACCCTTCACAACAATAAAGAAAAAATTAAGAGACTAAATAGCTTTTGACACTCTCTTTCAAGTTGGTGCAAAAATATCACACATGTCCAACTTGCCAAGCATTGAATGAAACACTTTACCATATACTCTCTTTGTCAAGTACTCAACTTTTCCTTCATTAAATGTCTGTTGACCTCAACATGCTTGATTCCATCATGCTGAACTGAATTGTGTGCAATGCTAGTTGTTGCCATATTGTCCCAATACAATCTCATTGATTCCTTAGAAGAAAAACCAAGTTCTTGTAACAGGGCGATTACAGCCACAACAATTCACAAATACCATAAGTCATAACTCTAAATTCTATCTTTGCACTAGATCTAGTCACAATCGACGTTTTTTACTATGCCATGATACCAAATTTTCTCCTACGAAGGTACAACATCCATACATTTATCTTCTGTCTGTAACCGATCTAGCCCAATCAGCATCTGAACAAACTTCCACCTGTAGATGATCATACTTAGAAAAGAGTAACCCTTACCAGGTGCTAGTTTAAGGTACCTAAAAATTCAATCAATTGGCATATGAAACTCACGATAAACTGACTAACCATACTAATTGCACAAGCTATATCTGGACATGTATGAAACAAATAAATGAGCTTGCCACCAGTTTCTGGTATCGACCTTTATCATCAGCACTCTCTCCCAGTCTATGATTCTGCTCAATTGGAGTATCAACAAGCTTGCATCCTAGCATACCAGTCTCCTTAGGTAGATCAAGCACATACTTTCATTGTGAAATGAATATGCATTATCTAGATTTTGCAACCTCCATGCCTAAGAATTACTTCAAACTTTTCAAATCATTTATCTCAAATTCTTCAGCCAAATTCACCATCTTCTCCACATCATCACTAGTAAGTACAATATCATCAACATACACGATGATTGCAGTCCCCTTTCCATGTGTTTGTTAGTATGATCACCATGACTCTGATGATAGTCATACTACAACATAACTTGGGTGAATCTCTCAAACCATACTTTTGGAGACTGCTTCAACCTAGTGTACTGAAAAGCGAGCCTAGGCCAGAAGCGAAGCGAGCCTTGTTCGCCTTAAACAGTCAAAGCGAGGTTAAGTAAAGGGATTCAAGACAACAAAGTGAAGAACTGTTTTGTAGTAAATGCTCTTGTTAATCAATTTGCTTTATACTCTATTTGATTAATTAATTTGTGAGGGTTCTATTTAGTGGTGATATTAATCAATCACGGCGGGAGTCGAACCCACATTATAGTGTACGCACATCTGTAGCACAAGTAAGAGTATACTTCTTTCTTCCAATTACAAAAGAATAAGTATTAGCACGTCCCGCATATAGTGCATCACAATCTCATATCCAAGTGCGCCCTAAAAGTATATGTCAAAGCTTGAGAGGCAATACATCACACATGACAGTCTCCTTAAGACTTCCAATGGTGAATGTAACTAGACATCTCTTATCAACTTTCAACTTTGTATTAATAATCTATGCTACATGATATGGTTCCGAATGTGGTTCAAGTTTCAAATTTAGCTTCTTCACAACCTCTTATGATACCACATTTGTGCAACTTCCCGTGTCAATCACTAAGGAACACATCTGTCTTTTACAACAAACTCTTGTCTGAAAGATTTTTCCTCGATGAATAAACTTATCATTAGCAACTTCTTTATTAGTAATAAGTAAAGGACAGAAAACACCCATAAAATGATCATCACCCAAATCATCAAAATTAGCCTCACCCACATCAAAAGATTCTACAATTTCTATTTCAAATTCTGGCTCATCAGAATCATTATACACCTTAGAATCTTTCTTTTCAACCATAGCAACAGATTTTGAAGGACATTGAAAATAGAGATGGCCAAAACCAAGACAATTAAAACATCTTGTCTTAGAATTAGTACTCCCTTGAGAAGAAGATTAGCCCTAGCCCGAGATGATTTGTTTGGAGTAAAAGTATTCTCTTGGATTTATTAGTGGACTTACCTTGATTTGCATCTACAACAATTCTCTCGATCCGGGTTGGAGGTGCCATATAAGATCTCTTTTTCAACTCATCTTCCATCTTATAGGCAACTTGAACTGTATCTGTCATGATGTAAAGTCTACTTGCAGCTAAACCAATAGAAATTTGTGAATTGAGACATTGCCTGTACATGACAATCATTACATCCTCAATCCATGAAAACTCTAATCGTGTGGCTAAGCTGTAGAACTTTCCTGTGCACTCCACAGACATACTCCCTTGATTTAATTATGTAAACTGTAGATGAGCTCGTTGCTTATAATTAGTAAATACAAAATAGCGGGTCACAGCAGTCTTCATATCATCCCATAATCTATCAAAGTGAGTTTGTTGGTACTTTACCCACCAAAGTCTTGTTATTCCCTTCAATTTTGATTTTGCAAAGAATTCATTCCTCTCATCGGTCAAACGATACCATCTAAAGAAGCTTTCAATGCTATGCAATCAATCAAGGAATATCTCGGGATTATTGTCCTCGTGAAAATCTCTAACTTCTAATTTAACCCCTTTATCAAAATCAAACAATCTTGGGTCTTCTCGAACTGGGCCTTGTGGTTGAGGGACTTATATGAGCATTGGTTGTCGATTGATAACCGATGAAGAGGAATCATGATTTGCATGCATCTCCACTCCTTTACCCTTTTTATCTAAGAGATAAGCTTCCATGATCTCCTTTAGTGATGTTATAGATGCCTCTAGTGAATCCATCCTCTCATTCATGGCCTTTTGTGAATCAATTTGTACTTGGGATAAAACCTCTACTTTAGCATTTAATTCGACGTTGGAAACCATCTTAATAGAAGAGGTTTTAGGGATTTTTTTAAAAAATCTGGGGTTAAATTGTAATTTCAATAAGCTTTCGGACCAAACTGAAATTTTAGAAACTTTGGGAGTAAAAATTGTAATTTTAAAAAAAGTTAAGGGGTGAAAGTATAATTTCAAAACTCTAGGGGTCAAATCTATAATTTTGGACAGGTTTAGGGATGTTTGTGTAATTTGGTGGGATTGCGCACTGCGCTTTTGTTAGGAGGGCAATGGGTAATTTTTTTTTTTTTTTTTTTTTTTATGGTTGAACTTGGTTTGGGCTATATATATATATTTTTTTTGGGGGTTGGATAGTGTTTAGGTTTTGGGTATTATGTGGGCTACTAGAAAATTCTTTTGAATAAAAAAAAGTGGTTGGTTCAAGGGGCAAAAGACTAAATAGTGTATTGACTTCTTCCTCCATAACCCTAGGTTGGAACAACATCAATCGTAATGAACAACATCCCAAACAGCAGCGATACTCAACGGTACGGGCTACGACAGAGTTTAGCCGTGTTTGAAGATAATGAAAGAAGACGTTATGAACAGTAACAATTTTGGCAAAGATCCAACTATGAATTACAGTATTAGAGATGAGAAAAGTAGCAAGAGATGATAGATCGGAGTTTTGTTCTGATACCAAATTAATGTAGAATGAAAAAGACTAGAAATCACATAATAGAAAGATAAGAAGAAAGAAGAGGGGGTAGAAAGGGTTTACCTCATCCTTGCAAGAAATCGGTGAAGAAACACATAAATTCTCCACGGATAACCACTTTTTATTAAGGGGCCATAACATCCCACAAGTATTATTTGTTATAGCATGACACTCAACCTCTACACTAGAACGTGCAACCACATTCTACTTACTCCGCCAAATAATAAGATTACCACCAATACATATACAATAGACAGAAATAAATCGTCTATCACATTGACTACCAGTCTAGTGAGCATCAAAAAAACCAACAAATATGGATGATGATAGATAATATAATAATCCTTTCACTGGAGCCCCTTTCAAATATCGAATTATACAGCATACAACCTTCCCAATGAGAGTTACAAAGGGTATACATAAACTGACTAACCACACCAACATCATATGTAATATCAAAGACTTCACCACTCTTAAAATCTAACTTAACTAGAGAGTCTATAGATGTATCTATTGGACATACACTAAGAGTACCAGTTTCAAATAGTAAGTTTAATACATACTTTTGTTGGCACAAATTGATACCCTGTTTTGATCGGACAAACTCATGCCCTAGGAAGTACCAAAGAAAATCTAAATCTTTAGTATGAAACTTCTTTCCCAAATATGCCTTAAAGTAAGCAATTTCATCCGAGTCATTACCACTGATGGTGATATCATCGACATACACAATGACAATAATAATACTTGCAGAAAACCTACAAGTGAAAACTTCATGATCAAAAGAGCACTAAAAACCAAACTAAAGCACTACAGTGTTAAACTTATCAAATCAAGCATGTGGTGACTGTGTCAAGTCATACAGTGTTTTCTTCAAACGACACGCTAAGTTTTCCTGAACTAAAACAACATAACTTAAGGGATGAGTCATATATACCTCATCTTGTAAATTTCCACATAAGAATGCATTCTTTATGTCCAATTGATACAAGAGCTAGTCAAAGCTGATTGCAACAGAAATAAGAACTCCAACAGAGTTAAGACAAGCAACAAGAGAGAAAGTCTCATTGTAATCCACACCATATGTCTGGGTGTAACCTTTAACAACCAACCGTGCCTTCAATCTCTCAACAAAACCATCAGAATGATATTTCACAGTATATAGTGACAACTTACAAGTTGCTTACCAAACAGAAGAGAAGTGAGGTCACAAACATAATTTTCATGAAGTGCCTTAATTTCCTCATCTATAGCCAGTTTCCATCTAGGAGATGTTAATGTCTATTTCAAAGAACTAGGAACAAAGATACGAGACAAAGCAAATGCAAAACAACGAAATGACAAGGAAAGCCGATGTCAAGAGGCAAAATTAGAAATGAGATGCTAGGTACAAGTAGGAGTACCTTTTCACAAGGCAATCGGCGAATCAGACAACTCAGGAGAAAAAACCTCTGTAGAATTAGGCATTGACTAGAGAGTTGAAGCATATAAAACAACTTGTCTATTCATGGAACGAAGGTAACCAACAATGGAGGGCCAAAAGCTAGAGGGAAAAAAGAGAGGTAATATCAACTCCCCCTGACTAGTAGAGATCAAATCTGGAGAACGAGTAGTTCTTGAATTAGATAAAAAATCTCAAAAAAAGTGACGTCAACACTAACATAATACTGGGGACACAAGGTCATAACAACAAGGGCGATGTATTAGGATAAAGCAAGGAGAACAGAGATTTCTTACTTAAGATGGGAAAAGAGATCCGATTAATAAGACAGATTGTTGTAAGAAGAACATCTATCCAATACGGCTTGGGGACATGCATATTAAACATGAGGGTACGAGCAACATCAAATAAATGACGATGTTTTCGTTCTGCAATACCAGTTTGTTAAGATGTATGTAGACATGTAGTCCATGATCAGCATACAATGTATACATAAACGATTGTACATAGTCAAGGGCATTATCATAATGAAATATCTTAATTCGTTTATCAAACTGTACAAGGATTTCAATATAAAAGGTAAGAAAAATTTTAAGTAATTTAGAACGATTCTTCTTAAAAACAACCAAGTTATACGAGAATAATCATCAACAAAGATCAGAAAATAATAAAATTCATAAATTTTTTATTCTTAAAGGATCCAAATGTCACAGTGAACAATAGAAAAATGACTAGGCTGACGACTTATATTACTAGTAGGAAAAGAACTACAATGATTCTTGCCTAATTGACAAGCATCACATTCTAAAATAATAGGACTCAAACTAGGAATGATTTGATGAAACTTTTGCAAGGAATGATGACCCAAATGAAAATGGCTGTGGAGGGGAGACACAATAGCACTCAATGCAAGAATTGTTACTCTAAAATTCAAATAGTAAAATCCATTCTGCTTATTCCCCAAACCAATCACCTTTTTCATTCGGAGATCCTGAAAAACATAAGAAGATGGAAAAAAGATTATTGAACAATATAAAAACTTGGTTAATTGACTCACAAATAATAGATTAAAAGAAAATTGAGGGACAAATAACCCAGATGTTAATGAAATGGATTCTGTAGAATGAAGATCACCAGTCCCACGAATACAAAATTAAAAGAACAAAAATTAGAAAACAATGAGAAAATACCAAAAACATGGGCACTAGCTCCCGAATTAATAATCCAAGATAGTGAAGCGGTGTGTGCTGCTACATGTGCAGAATTATTTGTAGTGGCTAAAACTGGTAGTTGAAGTAAGTGAATGGCAAGAGTGAAGACAACTGCCGGATGAGTTAACTAAATTAGGAGGTAAGATCATTATGAAAAGAAGATGTAGATGTAATAGGTCCACTAGTCGATGGCTGAGAGGCAAGATTCAGATCATCAAAACCTAATTAGCATAGGCTGATCTTCCATGTTTATCCCAACAATAATCCTCAATATGTCCAATAGCTCCACAATAAGAACATTTCCAATAAGAACAATTGCCTTGACCACCACGACCTCCATGACTAATACCTCAACCACCACGATCACCACCGGAAGCTACATGACAACCACCACAAGCACCTCCATGACCACCACTAGAGAGTAAAGTAGAGGACTCCTGTGCGGGTAAACGAGTCCCACAAGTCAAAGAGGCTCTCTAAAGATGGAAATAAACATTGACAGTAATAGAAAGTTTCTCACTAACTAAAATTTAATCTTTAAACACATCATATTTAGAATTAAGATTGGATAGGAATAGTACAACCTGAAACTCTTCCCATTATTGTCGTTGTACTTCAAGGTCTGCACTCAATGGCTGATAAAGTAGCAGTTTCTCCCATAGCCCTTTCAAAGTACCATAATGCTCAGCCAAACTTACTCCTTTACTTGGTATTAAACATAAGCTCAAAAAGTTCATAGATTCGGGACACATATTCTTGTGAATACATCTCCTCAAGAGAATCTCAAATCTTCTAAGTTGTATCAAAAAGTTGAGCAGTTGAAACTACACCAGACTCTAATCTATGCCATAACCAGGTTATCACTAAAGAATTTTCAATCCACCGGTCTTCAAATTTTTAACAATCTTAGGAGTACTTTCAGTCAAATACTTTCACTTTCTTTTAGAACACAAAAAACTTTGATGACATAAGACCAAGAATATTAGTTGGTTCCATTTAACTTCACATAAATAATTTTCCTAACCTGATCATTCATGGAATAAACTTGTCGAACCCGATTGCCAACCAACGTATCCTTCACCTCCTCGGAAGTTGCCACTGGACAACCCACAACCAACTAGTAGACAATAAAAGAAAAAAAGAGAACTAGCAAAAAAAAATTCCCAAACAACTATTCGAGATGCTTGAATTACCGTCAGATCAAAAGCCACAAACCATACAGTGAAGGTAAACACACCAAGAGTCCTCAAAATAACTCACATAAGCCAAAAAAATAGCAATTCATCACTACTAGTGCCGACAAGTCTAAGGCATAATCAACCATCACAAATAGCCCAAAACACCCAAGGCTTCAAGGAATACACAACTAGCAGTCAAACGAGGCCAGAACGACCAAAAAAACTTGTTGCGCGCACTATTCTTATGGCTAGAAAAGTTGCCGACTGTCAAAGAGTACAAAAACTCGACACACCAAATCAAAGCACAAAAATGAAACTAAAAGATTTTCACCCTATTAAACAAAGGAAATAATTTTTTCAATAAAATAAATGGAAGATGTCCTAATCTCCAATGTAGTAACAAAATCTGCTCCTCAAAAGTATCACATTTTTTAAAATTAAGAGCTTATGTAATGGTAGCATTGCCTGGCTCATGAAAAATTCAAAAAGTTAAGACCGTTTCTATCCTCACCATTGCCACTCGTCTTCCTTGTGACAATGTCCTGGAAGACACAATGTGAAGAAAAGAATGTTACACTACAGTTTAATTTTTTGGTAATGTCACTGACAGAAATAAGATTATTTGAAAGATTAGAAACATGCAAAACAGATGAGAGAGATAGAGATGAAGTGACTGAAATAGAACATTTACCAGCTATAGATGATAGAGAACTATCAGTTATTTTAACCCATTATTTATCTGAACAAGCAGTATATGATGAGAACAAAGTAGATAGTCTAGTCATATGGTCAGAGGCACCTGAATCAATGATCCAGGGACAAGAAAGAATATTACAAGATGCACCCAATGTTGTAGAAAGGTTACCTGTATGAACAAAATAAGTGGATGTAACTGTAGGTGTCTCTAGCTTTAACATAAGGCAACGTACATTCTCCAATTCCTCCTTAAAAAGACCAATTGTTTCTGTTACAGATGATAGAGTAAGACCAGGACCAAGTGAAAAAGTCTCCATTGCAGTCATAAGATGGGCTCAAGATCCTCCTCTACCTCCAAACTAAGGACAACCATTTAATTTCCAACAAATGTCTCTATTATGTCTCAACTAATGGCAATAATCACAATATAACTTATCTTTATCATTAGATGCAACATCATCTCGAGAAGTAGTAGTGGCCAGGGATGAATTCTCCTACTCTTTTCCAACTGAACATAAACATATGCCTCTCGTAGGGAAGGAAGAGGTTCTTTCCCTAGGATTTGAATCCTAATTTGATCAAACTCAAGATTCAAGCAAACAAGAAACTCAATAATCCTCTCCTATTCAATCAACTTCTGTAGTTTTGAGGCATAAATAGCACACTCAATGTTAAGTCTCTGATAGTGATCCAATTCCAGCGTAGCCCCCGCAAGGTATGAAAATAAGCCGTCAATGAGGAATTCTTCTAATTAATATTGTGAATCCGACATTTCAATTCATAAACCTGTGCCATATTGCCCATCTTTGAGTAGGTTTGTGATAGTGCCTCCCAATTCTCCTTGGCAGTACGTAGAAACAAATAGCCATTGCTAATCTCTAGCAGTATTGAGGGTAGTAGCCAAGACAACCATGGAATTATCAACCTCAAACTTATCATAAAGTGGATAATCAATATTTGGTTCCTTAGTTTTTCAGTCAAGTAACTCATCTTTCCCTCAATTCTAACAAACAACATAGCCAACTGCAACGACCAAGCAAGGTAATTATGTCCATCAAGCTTTATTGTCGTAATCTGTAGGTTGGGATTTTCAGTCTAAAGTCCAGTTTGACTTACAACACTTTTTAGCTATTCCTAAGAAACCTTGTCGAGATTCCGACATGATTTAACTGATTTCTACCTCTTCTTAAAGGTCAAAAACACGCTGAAGGCTCAAAAAAATCAAAAGATAACAAGAAACACAACTACTATCTCAAACTTGCATTTAATCAATCCTGAAAATTACAAAGAACGGGTGAAATCACTGTCAGAGCACAAAACGTACTGCCTTAAGCCAAAAAACTTGCTTGCCGCCCCTCTTGAAGCCATAAAATACCAAAAAAACACCTGCAAATCATTAGACAACACTTGGGCATTCTAGATCGGCACCCATAGTGTCTATTCCAAGTAACAAATCCCTTAGAAGAAGGCTAAAAATTGCAGATCTGAAAAATAGTCCTATTTTTTCGAAAATCAAAGAAACAATAGAACGAAGCACCAAATACTATCAAAAAATCTAGAAAAAAAAAAAACATACATGAACTCTCCTCGTCAAGTCGACCAAAGTACTAATTTTTTTTCCTTTTGCGCACAAACAGAAAAAATTCCAAATAAAACAGATTCTGGCAAATCAAAAAGAAAATTAAAAAAAAAATGGTTTTGTTCCGCGTATAGATAAATTTGAGAATCGCAAAACCTACTCCGATATCATGTTGAATTAATGTAAAGAGAAAGGGAGAAATAGAGAAGAAAGAAAGACAGCTGAAAAAGAGAAGAATGTTATGTTTCTTTTCCCTGTCACTTATATTTATAGTTCAAATATCAAGAAGACAAAAGTACTCTTCACAAGAATCATAACAATAAAGATAAAAATAAGAGACTAAAAAGCTTCTAATAGAAATGGATCATTAGCCACCATAAAAAGGTTGTCTATGTTAGATGTTAGCTGATACCAGAATCTCCATTTCAGGTCATATAGGGAGACAATTCTCATGTGAAAAAAAGAATACAAAGGGTTACTTGTTATTGTGGTGAATAATAACTCTAGATACTACCTGTGCAGCTTATAGAACTGTTTCATAACATCCACCATCTTTTTTTATGCGTCAAAGATTAACCTAAACCTTCCTGCATAAAACCTTCTCGCATGAATTCGCATACGTGTGAAAGGTGACAGTTTATGTCCAAGAGTCTGACTTATCTTACCAAAACATTGGAGGATAGGAGAATGGCACTAAGTTGTCAGGGAACATAACTGCTACTATCAAACTCCAAGATTAACATGAAAATCCTCTTTTAGTTGTAATATAGCACGTGAGACATGAAGCACACTAGATATTTGTAACAAATCCTAGGGAACCTTCGAAACCAATGATGATATATAAAATAAAGAAGCACAGGAAAACTCAGCAACACTACAGATTATCTCTGATGAAGTGCATGTATACAACAAGGACAAAGAAAGAAGTTGAAGACATTTTGTGCCATTGCTTTTTGACATTATGAATTTGCACGGTACAACAGTTGAAGACCACAGTTTCCAATTTCCTGATTATGAATAATTGAATAGTAGGAGACAGAACTATTTTAGAAAATCAAAGGAAAACTTATCTGCAATGCTAAGCAAAATTTGACATACTTAAATATGGATATAAGCATAACTTGGTCCATTTTACATCCATGCAGCAGTCATAAAAAACCATAAACAGTTGGTTTGACTAACTTCCATTATGTATATGAAAAATTGCAATGGTCTGATGAGAAGATTTGCAAAATCATGCTAGGATTTGATTATAAGCAAAAATGCTTCTCCTGAAATAATTTAGCAGAATACCATTACAGCAAAAGGAAAATGGGAAAAGATTCTAGGAGTGATTTTACTAAATTGTGCTACTTCCCCTGTGCCTCTTCTTGGTTTCTGAAAATCAGTTAGCATTCATAGCTTCAGTCCCTAGTTCATCTCCAAACTCTACCCTATCAATCCTTAATTAACCTACACCATTCCCTACCCTTTAGCGTCAATTTCTCACACCGAAGTCCTTAAGAAACTTGCTGTCAAGAGAATCCCAGCAAAGTTCTTCTATATTTCCTAAGAAAACTGCTCTACCAGTTGCAAAACCAAGCCATTCTAAAACCCTTCCATGACCAAAATCCACCGCATAATAGTTTGAGGCAGCATTATTCAAAGTTTCCTCAGCTTGTCCTACATCAGCATTCCCCACATTACATAGACACAAAGATTATGGCACAACATAAGCAACCCACACCAAATTACAAAACCTAATATCTCAAATATGCAAATACACCTGAAACCCCAATATACCTTTATAGACGGCTCACCAAGCAGCCCTTGGCCGACATCTGTTGCAGCAAAAGATAAGAGAAAATACACAAAATAGTGGAATATTACCCTCCTAAATTGCCTACTGAGAAGATGCTTTGACGAGCCATCTTGCCCCTTGCAAGAACCATAGAAACTAACTAAAGGAAATGTATGAACTTCGGCATCACCACCATCAATCGAAGCACAATCTCTCCATAAAAAGAAAAAAAAAAAAAAGAAAAGAAAAGGTTGAAAAAAAGGCTCTGAGGAACTGTTGTCCCCAAGGTTTCTATAAACTACCATGCGAAGCCAAGGTATTCAATACAAAACTTGCCCCAGTGTAATGAGCTCCCACAATTGAAGGAATAAGTAACGAAAAGTCCAGGGTCATCTACTTGTATGTGTGTGTGCTTGTGGAGAGAGAATAGAAGATAATAGCCAAAAAGGAATTATAACTCTATTGTCCTCTAAACTCTCATACCCTATTGTGAGGCCTCCAAGTTCCAACCAGTTGAACCAAAGAGACGAGCCGGACAAAAGAAGGCCTAATTATTTGCACAAAGCATTCTGACTGACATAGTCTTTGTGAGGATGGACCTCCAAATAGCTTCTAGATCTCAGCAAGATACTTAATAGTCACAACGATATGTTTCTGATATAGAACTCATTTACAGTCACCAAAATGCCATTTTCTGCTCTTTTTTCTTAGCTTTCCAAGGTTCTTATGCCCACTACTTGTGATGAACTATTAATTTTTCCTTGGCCAAAGAATTTTTTGGAAATGTGTGCTAGAATGCTAAAAAAAGAGAGAGAGGTTTTTGGAAAGTAAGTCTTTTTCTTCAGAGCCCTCCTGAAGCTATACGGTGTCTCCATAACCACATCAAACATTCATCAGTTCAGAAAATGCTCCTTCTTTATTTCCCAAATTATGCAAAGGAAGAAAAATATCATAAAAAAGTATTATCCAATGTGGGTCCACCAACTATTCAGTCCTAAGGGGTGGGTGTAATTTGGGCGGGTCAACCGCAACCCAACACGTGCTTGACCCTAAATATTCAGTATTTGGACAAAGATTTTCAATACTTGATTGGGCTTCAGCAAAAAATCCCAACCCGATCTGAATCCAAACAGATGCAGTGCTCCTTTTCTTGGGGAATAAAAAATAGGAAAATAGCATTTTTTTTAAATTTTAATCAGTCAAAACACTGCCTTCCCTCACATTAGGTCGCAGATGATCTTTTTGACAAGATTACTAAATCGACCTTTGTTCATTGAAGCAAAGATGGATACTTTGGGCCTGAAAATCAAACCTTTTAGTCGATCTTTCTTTCTACTATTTGTTGTAGCTAATTCAAAAAAAAAAGTAGGCATGATTATAGAAATCTATGTAGGTCAGACTGACACATCCTACAAGGGTTTTGAAAGCGATCTACGGCTGTGCAATAGGGAAGCACAATGTATTGGAAAGTAACTAGCCATTTTGAATTTTATCTATTCCAATGACCTGCTCAGCTGGATGAAGAACAGATTGCAAACATAAGTTGCTTATACCTCATTAAGCTTTGTGGAAAGCTCATCAAGTAAATTAATTCGACTCTTTGACTTCTCCAAAGCCTCCATAACCTTCTTCTTTTGAAAAAGTAGGTCCCTTGCATCCTTTTCTTTTCCAGTTTGAATACTAATAGCTGCCTGACGTCGAAGCTTTTCTGCTGCTTCAGACAACCGCATCAGCCTTAACCTTGCATTATTTGCTGAAACAATAACTCATATAATCACCATGAAATAAGGAAGCATTGAATTTAATGAGGAAAAAAAATTGCATGTCAATAGCAAGGGGTTGTGAGATACGGTGAAACATGTGCAAGGCTTTCCCATCCTGATGAAATGCAAGAAGTGTTGAATTCAGTTAACACAACACATGTAGATAACAGAAACGGTTGTCAAATTCTTATCAATATGAATCAAGATAATGTGTAAATATTTGGGCATTCCCCTTAAGTGAGGAGACTATTAGTAATCTTTTTCTTCACTGTTTGATTGTTTTGTCGTTGTGGAGAAGATTATTTTTATTGGAGTTATGTTGGGTGTCTGGTTCTAAAGCATAGAACGCATGTGAATTTTTGCGGTTTGGGAAAGAAAGAAAGCCCGTTCCCTTCCCCAATATGTGGTGATGAGAATGATTTGGGTCTTACGGATTGAAAGAATTTACAAGATTTGTTTTAATATTAAATTGGTTTGTGGGTAAGAATTTGTTTTTTGGGTTTTGGTGTCTTCAAACTTCATGAGAATTCAATTGTTCTTGATTAGAGACAGATTAAAAACCGTATGATACTTTTTTATTATTTTCATCTTCATTTTGATGGACTTCTTGTCACTTTTGTAGTGCTTTCTTTCAAGCAACGAAATTATGTTGTAACTAGTAAAAAACAGCTGTACATTATATCTACAGAATCAGTACTAACCAAAGCCAGTGCACCGTAATCAAACCTTTTCCATGTAGCCCACCTAGAGGTGACAATCGAGTCGTGTCATATCAAGTCCATGTTGTACCAATATTAATCGTGCCAAAACTGGGTCACAAGACAAGAAATATTTAACCAATCATGTCTAAATCCTAAACCCTAAAGAAAGTGGACATGAATACTCACATAAGGCTGTATGTCAGGATCGTTGGTTAAATCTTCATTTGAGCTCAGACTGAGGGTTGAATGGGTCATTTGAAAACTATTTCAAATTCTAGGTCTTCGCCAATTCAGTTTGTAGACCTAACTACTATTTTGCCAACAATCAATAAGAATTAAAATGGAAGATGCAACTACTAATTAATCAATGGAAACTACAATTGATCAAGACAATGTTACGACAATACATAAGAATTAATTGTAATGCCCTATACCTATGTAAGCATAGGCAATAATCAGCCCAACTAAACAAGCTTATAGGTAAAGTACTCAATGATAATGTATTAAAGACATACAAAAACTCCAACCTTGGAGAAACCACAGGACCTAATTCAAAATTTATGAAATATGGATACTTCATTAAGGTCGACGTATCATGTAGAACACGATCCTCGTCAGATACTCGATGATATGTATCCGATATGAATATGTCCCAGACGTGGAAGTGGAATACGAGGGACAAATAGCAATGGTAAGACAAGCCAGGCATAATGCAATCCCGTCTCAGTCAATATGTAGAAACTTTTTGTTTTAACGATGGACAAATAACACTTTAAACCCCAAAAGATCTTCAAATTCTTAATTCACACCCTAAAAGATGATTTTCACATTACGCACTCAATCATATAAAAAGGTAGCAAAGTAGTCTATTATTCAAAAATGAGTATAAAATTTGCATATAAAAAGTTAGATTATCAAAGTATTAGGATTTGGAGAACAAAGAAGAGAGGTAAGATGGAAGACAAAAGTGTGTTAAGAGTTACACAATTACATCCCAATTTATATATAACTATAAAATACCAATAATATCCTTAAGATAGAAATACAACTTAACATAACATAAAATATTGAAAATTGTGTAATACACAAATATTTGTGAAAAAAAATAGAGAAAAAAAAACAACAAAATTGTCAAACAAAGCAGAAAACATTAGGTTTTGAACCATATTGCTACCTTTTCATAAGATTGAGGGTGCAATTACGAAATTGTAACTTTTCAAGGTGTATGATAGTTATGGAATCGTAACTATCATAATTATAGATTAATTATGATAGTTATTTAGATATTTTTAATATTTATTTTTTAAGTAATTTCTTTAAATTTTTAAGAGTTTAATTGTCATTTTGATTATTTATTTATTTTACAGTTTGTGATCTCCTTATATATATAGGATTTATAAACTCCTTATATATAGAGGGGATACATATTTGTTGTGAGATTAGACTTTTGATTATTATTTATTATTGATATTGAATCCTTCTTCCTCAAATTCTATCTCTATTTTCATCCTCTTCTTCTTCTTTTCTGATCTCCTTCTTCTTCCCTTCTCATCCTTAATTCTTCCTTACTACGATCTACATCAATTTAGTATCAGAGCCCAATTTCGATTCGTACAAATCAACAAAAAAAAATTATTGTTTATCACACGCACTGTTCATCACGACTGTTCACTATTTATCATCATAAACAATGAAAAAAAAAACCAACCAAAACAAAAAAAAAAAAGAGAACTATCGAGCAGATTTAAAAAATTACAACAACATCCCAACTATTTCAAAAATTACAGAAACACCCCACAAAGTTTCAGAAGTTACAAAACCACCCCCAAAAATTTCAAAAATTATAGAATTTTTCCCTCAAAAGTTCTAAAATTGCAAAAACATCCCCAACAGATCAATAAAAACTTCAGAATCATTTCCAAAAAATTTTTGAATTTCCTCTTCATTATGGTATGCATACTCCCATAGAATTTGAGACTATTATTTTTATTTATTGAAAAATTAGAGAATTTATAAAGGGTCCAAAACACATTTTCTTCTATTTAAACTTTCCTCAAATTGTCAATTGCATTCTTAAATTTGTTCTTATACCATTCTCATCTTTCAAGAGTCACTCATGAGTTCCTCTAATGCACATGTTTCAAGAATCTCTCGTCGAGGTCATCATCATAGGAAGTCTAGGGATGTTTACATAGAGTCAACCTATATGACCACACTAGTTAAAGATCCTTCTATATTTAGTGGCACTTTAAATCTTTTAGAAGAATAATTTGATTGGCATAGCATGTCGAATTCCCACTGCATCCGTTTTGCTAAATTGATTTTGGAGGGTTCTACTAAGAAGTATTAGCAAACAATTCAAAGAAGTCTAGACCCCTTAGGAGAATCACTTATCATTTGGGTTGAAATGAGATATAAATTAAAAAAGAAATATTTACCTGCTTCCTACATGGATCATGTTTATGACCAATGGCTCAAATCTTAGACAGCATTCTTCTAGTGTCTCTCATTACTTTGCCCAGTTTGATTATCTCATGTATTTGTGTGACATTATTGAAGAACCTTGGACAATTGATCAGTTTATTCTTAGGTTGAGACAAAAAATTAGTAGGGAGTTCAAGCAATACACTTTTGATACGCTAGTTGCAACCTATCAATATGCTCTAAAGGTTGAGAGATTCATAAAAAATTCAACTATAGCTTGATGGGTTATCAATCAAAGCCTGCTGATAGGACATCTTTCTATTTTAATTCCACCACATATGAGTATTATGATTACTTAAACGATGTCCATATTATTTCTGCATGCTTTCTTAATCCGAATGTGGCAAAAGATTTAAAAATGCTAGCATCAAATAAAGAGAAAAATATTACTCATATTAACTTTCAACTCCCTCATTCAATTTCATCAGATCAGAGTGTTCCTCCTTTGCACCTACAAGAGTTCATATAGAAAGAAAGTGTGTGTGAGTCTTTGTTTGTGTCAATTCTTAAACCATCATTAATCTTAAAAATTGTGAAAAAATCTGTTGAGTCTACACTTATACAAGATATTAAGTCAATCGAGTCATTTATTGCAAAATCTATTAGCGACTATTATGTGTCTACTTATCTAAGTCATCATGACTTTGTTACAAATTCTTTCCAACCTGAGATTGTTGACATTGTTCTGAATTCTACCCCACTTGAGAGTATTAACTTTGATTCTTTGCCTACTGTCAAGTGTTCAATTAAATCTGTACTTTCTTATTTTCAGCACCCGGGTGTAATAGTTATTCCTTTGTCATTGATGTCTTGTTCTATTGAATGCCTTGTGTTGAAACCAAATGAGAATTATTTTGCTATTCTCGAGTTTGGATCTAATACTTATTTGCTTAATTTTTCATTGAATGTTAGTATTAGTCCAGATTTTTATTTGGAGGACATGCTACTTAATCAAGGTACTCCAGAGTCTCCTATTTTGTTATCAGGTGTTTCTACAGGTGGAACTGCTTCTTCCTCAGCATTAGCTCCAGTTCTTATATTTTCACTTCTATCACGTATTTCAGGGCAAATAGATAATGTGCTACGTGACTAGATTTACATTGCTACGTATGGAGATTCTTGTATTTATTCTAATCGATGAAAAGATATTGATGGTTCTTTTATTCTAGAGGAGGCATTATACCATCTTCATCCAGCTCTCTTAGGGTACTTCTACTTTGAAGACTCTTCAGGGGAGAATTTTTTTCAACCGGAGGAGAATGATGGAAATAATGTAAAAATTAGATAGATATTATAGATTAATTATGATAGTTATTTAGATACTTCTAATATTTATCTTTTAAGTAATTTCTTTTACTTTTAAAGACTTAGTTGTCATTTTGATTATTTATTTATTTTAGGTTTGTGATCTCCTTATATATATAGGATTTGTGAACTTCTTATATATATAGGGGGATACATATTTGGTGTGAGATTAGACTTTTGATTATTATTTATTATTGATATTGAATCCTTCTTCCTCAAATTCTATCTCTATTCACTTCCTCTTCTTCTTAAACATAAAAATTTTGATATTCAATCAATGATTCGTTTCGGTTTTCATGTACACAAAAACGTTTTGAATGTTTAGGCCATTTCGAAACGAAACTCAGTTCCTGGTCTTCCAGGACCCCAAATGTCTATATGAACAACATTAAAAGGATTAGATTGACGACCTGAATAACTAAGAATAAAGAACTACGGTGATACTTGCCTAGTTGACAAGTCTCACATTCTTACATAAATCAAATCAAGGATAACTTAACACAACTTTTGCAAGGAAAGATAACACAGTAAAAAGTGTCACCGGAGAGGAAACACTGTAGCACTTAAAGCAAGAACAGAACTGCAGGGATCTAAGTAGTAAAGGTCATTAATCTCATGCCCTAAACCAAGCATCTTCTTCGTCTGGAGGTCCTAAAAAATACAAGAAGATAGAGAGAAGGTTACTGAATATCATAAGGACTTAGTTAGCTGACTCATAGATAATAAGTTAAAAGAAAAATTAGGAATAAATAAACCAGAGGTTAATGGCATAGACTTAATATGACAAATATCACCAATTTCATGTACTTGTTGAAAAGAATCATCAGTTAACACAGTAAGTGAGTTAGGCAATCAAAAATTAGAGAATAGGAAAGAAAAATCATATGAGCACTATCAATAACCCGATAGGAGAAAAGGTTAACGAACATTGTATTAAGACTTAGTTAGCTAACTCAAAGATAACAAGTTAAAAGGGAAAATTAGAAACAAATAAACTAGACGTTGATGGCAGAGACTGAATAGGGCAAAGATTCTTAGTCCCATGTACTAGTCGAAAAGAACCATCAGCTAACACAGTAAGAAAAGTTGTCAAAATGTGTATCAAAAGCGTATCATTTTTCAAAAACAGTGTATCGCGTCATTTTTCAAAAGTTGTCCATATCTTAAGATATGGACAACTTTACAAAAGATATTAAAAAATACATATACCTATGGCAAAATGTCACAATAACATTTCATTTTACCACAAATTTCTCACATAAAACAATTTAAAAAGACTACAAGAACCAAAAACAAAAATTAACAATCTATGACTTGAAATTTCTAACATAATTCATCAATATCAAAATTTATATAGTTCTAATTCTAACATCTAAAATAACCAGAGGAGCACACTTTAACAATTAAACTATTTGCTCTCGTGATGGAATGAATAAAAAAGAAGGCTTTTATTTTTTAAAACTGTT